AAAAAAAAAAAAAAAAAGAAAAGAAAAGAAAGGAAGGAAAGAAAGAAGAGGAGCAAAAGAGAAGGAGGAGGCAGAGGGGGAGGAGGAGAAGGAAGAAAAGCTATCTCATCATGGTATGCTTGCCTGTAGTCCCAGCTACTAAGGAGGCTGAGGCAGGAGGACTGCTTGAGCCTGGGAGTTGGAGGGTTGCAGTGAGCTATGATGATGCCACTGCTCTCTAGCCCAGGTGTCAGAGCAAGACCCTGTCTTGAAAAAATAAATGAAATAATATAAACTCTCAATAAATGTAAATTACTAGTGGGAACAACTAAAATGTCCAGCAGCTGATGAGTGGATAAACAAAGGTGGTATATTCATACAACAGAATACTCCGTAATAATGAAGTACTGACACACGCTACAACATAGGCGAACCCTGAAAACATTATGCTAAGTGAAAGAAGCCAGATATCAAAGGTCACATAGGATATGATTCCTTTTTATGTAAAATGTGCAGAAAGGGAAAATCTGTAGAGACTGATGGTTGCCTAGGGCCAGAGGGAGATGGGACTGGGGAGTGACTACTAACGGATTGAGAGATCTCTTTGGGGGATGGTAAAAATGTTATGATCAGATAGTTGTGATGGTTGTACCACACCGTGAGTGTACTAAATGCCACTGAATTATATCTTTTCATTTTATTATTATTATTTAAAATTATAGATAGGGCTGGGTGTGATGGCTCATGCCTGTAGTCCTAAACAGTTTGAGAGACTGAAGTGGGTGTATTGCTTGAGCTCAGGAGTTAGAAACTAGCCTGAGCAAGACAGATCCATCTCTACTAAAAATAGAAAAAATGAACAGGCATTGTGGCAGGCACCTATAAACCCAGCTACTTGGGAGGCTGAGGCAAGAGGATCACTTGAGCCCAAGAGTTTGAGATGGCTGTAAGCTATGACACCAGGCCACTCAATTCCAGGAAACAGAGTGAGACTCTGTCTCAATAAGTAAGTAAATAAATAAATAAAATAAAACAAAATGAGAAACAGGGTCTTGCTATATTGCCCAGGCTGGAGTACAGTGGCTATTAACAGGCATGATCCCACTACTGAATTGTATTGTTATTTTTTTTGAATCATAGTCTCACTCTGTTTCCCTGGGATTGAGTGCCATGGCCTCATCACAGCTCATAGCAACCTCAAATTCTTGGGTTCGAGTAATTCTCATGCCTCAGCTTCCCCCAAGCTGGGACTACAGACACCTGCCCAACACTGGTTAGTTTTTCCATTTTTGGTAGAGACAGGTCTCCTTCTTGCCAGGATGGCCTAGAACTCCTGAGTTCAAGCAATCCACCTGTCTCAGCCTCCCAGAGTGCTAGGATTATGGGTGTGAGCCACAACACCGGGCCTCAATTGTATTATCATTATTATTATTATTGTTACTATTATTACAGAGTCTCACTTTGTTGCCCTTGGTAGAGTGCTGTGGCATCACAGCTCAGCAAACTCAAACTCTTGGGCTCAAGTGATTCTCTTGCCTCAGCTTCTCAAGTAGCTGGGACTATGAGCACCCACCACAACGACTGGCTTTTTAAAATTAATCAATTTATTTTTTTAGAGATGAGGTCTTGCTTTTGCTTAGGCTGGTCTCAAACTCCTGAGCTCAAGCAATCCACCTGCGTGGGCCTCCTAAGTGCTGGGATTACAGGCATGAGCCACCACCCAGCCCGAATTATATTATTTTTAAACCATGAATTTTGTTATATGAATTATATCTCAGAAAAATCAATACAGTATCCAAAAATATCTTTAAAATGTAAGTTACAGCTGTGGAGGTGGCTCACAATGGTAATTCTAGCACTCTGGGAGGCTGAGGCAGGCGGATTGCTTGAGTACAGGAGTTTGAGACCAAGCAATAGCCAGACCTGTCTGTACTAAAAAGAGAAAAATGTAGGGCGCTGGCCCCATATACCGGAGGTGGCGGGTTCAGACCCAGCCCCAGCCAAAAACTGAAAAAATAAATAAATATAATAAAATAAAAATAGAAAAATGACGATAGGCCCAGCTACTGAGGATTGCTCGGCCCCAGTTTGAAGCTGCTGTGAGCTATGATATCATGCTTTATCCAGGGCGATAGAGTGAGACTCTGTCTCAAAAAAAAAAAAAAGTAAATTACTGATTTTTCCATAGTGACGACCCGCTGTCCCATCCCCCCCTTCCCCATTCTATTCCCTTCCTACCCTCCCTTTACCGCTCCCTATGGTCCCACACCCTTTCTCCCACTATGCTCTAAGACACCCACCCCCCACGCCCTTAACTCGCCCCCCCGCCCCCCAACCAGTGTCTCGGACCATTGGGCTCCTGGGTCCAGCGGCTTTTGGAAGGTGACCTGGCGTGCACGCGCTCCAACCGCTGCCCTCCGGTGGAAATGGACCCAACTCCTTAATTTTTCTCGTGCGCTCCAGTTGATGGCGAAGGTCCAAGATGATATCACGCGCCGGGGTCGGTGGAGGAGGAAATGGTGGGCCTCTCAGCTTAATATCTAGGCCCCTCCGGAAGTTTGATCTCGTGTGGAGGCTGTGCTCTGAAAGCCAGGTTGGCTGCCTATGGACGCTGGAAATCACTGAGGACTTCGGAGGCCCATGAGCCTCGTGTGCATTGTGATCCCAGCCCATAGCTTAACCACCCTATAAAGTGGCACAGTGATACTGGCCTTGTGTGCCCTTGCGAAGGTTAACTAAGTAATGCATCTCGCTGGCCCAGGGCACAAGTGTTGAGTAAGTGGTGTTTATATTCCAGGCCCTGTTCTGGGTGGGCCTCATGCTGGTGGAGTTCACTTGCTAGGGTCATCAGCTGTCCCAGGATACCAGGGTCCCCTTGCTACTCCCCTGGTAGATTCCCCTATGTTGTTTATTCACCTTTATCAACTCTGTATGACATACACACAAGGTAATCCAAATCTGTTGGAAATGTGCCCTGATCTTATTTTCTAAAATACTTAATCTGGTAGGTCATGAGATATAAGGCCATCCTCCAGGAAAGCTTTTTTTACATTTCTGTGGTTAACCCAGACTCATCTTCTGCTATGTCCGACTTAATCTGAATTTTATTCTTTTTAGCCCTAACCTTAGACTCTGTGTCTTACTTCTGCCTTTCGCCACATTGCTGATTATTTATCAACTCACAAAAATTTGTCCCTTTTTGGCTTTCCTAGTCCTGGAACAGATTCTCTCCTCTTTCCTCAATTCTTAATTCTTCCCCCCATTCTCCCACCTGACTTTGAGTCCCTTCTTTCTAATGCAGACTTTGATCCCCACATCCACCAAAGAAAAACCACAATCAACAGCATATCACAACTTAAAAGCTTCTTTATTATTCATCTATTAATTCTATTACATTTCTTTGTTCAGTTTTATTAAGTTTTAAAATATGTTAGAATAGAGAAATTTGTACCTATCTATCTACGTGGAAAACCATCTGGTACTCAAAATGGTACCAAGAGGCTTAGCATTTCTTACATTACATAGCCATAGTATTGTGAAATTTCCATCTCTTTTTCTCTCTCAATGAAATATTGCAGTTTCCCCAGAGAGGTGAATTTGGCAGCATTCTCACGCTCTTCTTGAGCCTGCCTTTTCATGGCTTCACGCTCTGGCCTCTGCTCTTTTGTGATAGGCCTTGATATGACTGGCCCAGAAATATCAGGTTTCCTCCATGGAATTGGTTGGGTGCTGAAGTCTTGGAGGACATACTGGTTTCGAGGCTTAGCTGGTGAATGGGGCTTGATCACAGCATTGGAAATAGGCTCCTGTCGGAAAGAAGTGCAAGATGATGTTTTGTAAAGTGCAGGCTTAGAAGCAGTAGACTGAGGCACATTAACCTGGGTAGGGTTGATTGAACCAGGTCTAGCTGAATTGGTCGAAATTGGCCGAGCTGGTCTGGCAGGACCTATTGAAGATGCATTGGCAGGAGCTGGTCGGTATGAATTAACTACAGAAGATTGAGCTGAGTTAGTCGAACCAGGCCGGGCAGGGTAAGCTGCAGCAGGCCTATGTGAGGCCACAGACTGTGGCCGTCGAGGGACAGGTCGAGCTTGAGGTTTTTCCATGGTTGGAAAGGGCAAAGGTACCAACTTGACCTTCCCTGGTGGTGGTAGCTCATAATCTGATGGAGATGAGCATTCTTTTTCAGCACTGCCATCTGTTTTCTGGGCTTTGACTTGAGTTTTCTCAGAACCTTTACCCTCATGTCGGGTATCCAGCCATGATTTAAAAGCTGGGGATGGCTTGGGATCTTTGGTGTTGTTTGTATTCCCCAGATTCCAGGAGGAAGTGAGTCCAGTTTTTTTATCATTCTTCTTCCCCAGGGCATGGAAAACCTGCACAGACTCCAGCATGTGCATGCCGAGGCAGCTTCGAGGCTTTTTAAAATTCTCTTGGCTAAGCTCAAGTTGATTTCTCTTCCGCTTCATCTTGGGAATGGTTGGCTTCTCTTCTGCCTTGACTTTGTTCCCTGACCGCTTACTTTCCTCAGCTTTCTTGGCATTGTTGTCTCTGGCCTTTTTGGTCTTTTCCTGCCTATGACCCTTAGCTTTGCTGTTCTTGCTAGACGCAGCTTTCTGAGGTTTGCTGTTAGAATACTTAGCAGTGTTCACAGGAGCCCTGTCACTGGCACTGACAATAATCACTTCTTCCCCAAACAGGTTCTCTGGGCTCTTTGTTTGGATTTTGGCCTTGGGAGCATCACTTAGAGGCTCAGAAGCTTTAAGCTTGTTCTTCTTGACTTGATCAGAGGGACCCTTAATGACACTTGACTTTTCCTGTACCTGATTCACCTTGATGGCTTTGGTATCTTTGGCTTTGAATCCTGTAAGATCTTTGGATTGGTCAAGATCTTTTAAGGAATCAAAGAGCTGGGGAAGGTTAATATCTTTCACCAGTGTTGTGATGTCTGAAAAACTACTGCTAGACTCCATCTCATTTTCAAGTGTCCCGTGGTCCTCAAGACTCAGGCTATTCTTTCCTAGACTGGCAATGTTAGCATCAGGCTGCACCTCATGGCCAAGAGGATCAATGCAGGCCAGAAGCTGGTGAATATCAGGGATTTCTAAAGGAAGTAGTGGAGGATCATGGTTTTCTATTGGGATCGGATAGGCATCCAGAGGCTTTGGAAGCTTCATTGTAATCTCATCTAAATTCTTATTCTCTGTTTTTTCCTGGCTGGAAACTGGACTTAGTGCCAAGAAATCAGAAGGACTCTGGACTGGAGCTATTAAAGAAATATCCCCGAAGTCAGGAGGTGGGTTACTCTCAATTATCTGGATATTTCTGCTACTGCAGGACTTGGGGAATTCTGGAGTTTGTGGCAGAGAAAGTGTCTGGCTTGGAGGTTGCAATCCCAGGGAATTATCCATCCCTAGGGAAGTATCCATCCCCAGGGAAGTTTCCATCACTACAAAGGAATAAAGGAAGAAATCAGTCCCTGGTAAGTGAGATGCTCTCCCTAAACAGAAATGTAGCAGTCAGGCACCTTCTACCAGAGGGCAAGGCATTTCTACTAGCTCTTCCTGAGTACCATGGACAAGGCTCCTCATTAGGAGATAGGCAGTGACTGTCCTAGTTGTTACTAGTTCACATTAGATGTCACTGTTTCATATATATACAAAAATTCTGCCTATCTGTGGACTCCAGACTTGAACCTCTTTTTGAATGCTGAATTTATTCCTTTCCTTTTTTGCTGTTTGTAAATATATATATATATTTTTTTCATAGGGTTGTTATAAATCAAGTAAAAAGTGATTTTGGGGGCCAGGCATGGTGGCTCACACCTATAATCCTAGAACTCTGAGAGGCCAGGGTGGGTGGATTGCCTGA